AGTCGTCTGTGTGACCCAATACAGCCCAAAAGGGTGAGGGAAGGGTCGCAGGACCTAGGCAGGCACCTGGCAACCAGCAGGAGTTCAGCCATGTGTAAGCATGGCTGGGTGTCTCCCATGGGCAAGAGGCCTGCTCTGGAGTCGGTTGATCACAGTCTCCGAGTGGCAAATGCCTAGTTGCTGGGATTCAGGGCCTGTCCTGGGGTCCACTGCCAGACCTTCCCGGGTTTTCGGCACCAACTGAAAGGTTCCGGGTTGGGCCAGGGTCGCACAGAACTGACTAGAGCAGTGGTTCTCAACCTTAGCTGCACATTAGAATCACCTGGGAATCTTTTTAAAATCCTGATTTCTGGGCCTCATCCTCTGGAAATTCTGTTTCTTTGTTACTACAGTAGGGCCTTGACTTACGAGTTTAATTCGTTCCAAGACCGAGCTCGTTAAGGAGCTTGTTAAGGAGCTCGTTAACTCATTACTCTATCAACTCAATGCAAAAAATCAGACAAGAGACAGCTGGTATCTCAAAAAACTCGTTAGTTGGGACACTCGTAAGTCAAGGACCCACTGTAATGTTGTGGGTCCTTATTGAAGGCATCTGGGTGCAGGTGGACTGAATCTGGGAAAGGAATCAGTGGGGAATGGGGAGGGAGCAGGCTTTTTATGTGCCTAGGGAAAGCTGTAGGCTTTGGCTGACATTCATATCTGGACCGTGCTTCAGGCGGCTTCTGTTGAGCATGTATCTGGGCTGTGCAAGAGTTGTGGTCTTAGAAGTTCCTGTAAGATATTCACTCATGTTTTTCTCTTGATGCTTTTAAAATTCTCTCTTTGTCTTTAAACTTTGCCATTTTAATTATGATGTGTCTTGGTGTGGGCCTCTTTGGGTTCATCTTGTTTGGGACTCTGCACGCTGCCGGAACTTGTAAGTCTATTTTTTTCAGCAGGTAGGGGAAGTTTTCTGTCATTATTTCTTCAAATAGTTTTTCGATTTCTTGCTCTCTCTCTTCTTCTGGCAGCCCTATGATTTGGATGTTGGTTGCTTGAAGTTATCCTAGGGGCTCCTTACACTATCTTTGCAGGAGGCCGCCCATTGTCTTCACTAGCAGAGAAGTGCAAACAAGGATCCCGGAAGGCTGGTGACCCTTGTACCCACGGCAGGGCCTGAGCTATGCACTGATTGTCTAGTCCTGACAATGGGGGCTCAAGCTATTTCCTGACCAAATAGACTCAGAGTAAATCCTCCTAATATTTACTGACCTTTATGATAGCCTGTCTGTTACTGCAATTACCTGCCTGACTAAGGGTTTTATGCTTAACCAAAGTGAATAAAAGGCTGGCGAAGCCTGGGGCACCAGTGGAAGTCCTTCCCCTTGAGTTGGACTTGCCCGCCTGGCCCCCCAGTATTTCCAAATTATCTCTTGTCTCTCTCTCTTTCATTTGTGTGTGGCTCTCTCTTCCAGATCCTGAACCCTAAACCACGGGGGGAGGGGGGGGAAATACACATACAACATATCTTCATATTTTTGGATTTTTTTTTTCTTTTTGCTCTTCTGATTGCGTGTTTTTTGCTTTCCTCATATTCCAAATCGCTGATTTGATTCTTGGCATCCTCTACTCTACTGTTGATTCCCTGTAAATTATTCTTCATGTTAGTTAGTATATCCTTCATTTCTGACTGGCCTTTCTCATGTCTTTGATGGTTTCACTAATTTTCTTGAAATTCTCACTAAGATCCTTGAAATTCTCACTAAGTCCCTTGAAGCTCTCATTAAGATCCTTGAGCATCCTCATAATCATTGTTTTGGACTCTGTATCTGTAGTTTGCTTGCTTCCATTTCATTTAGTTCTTTTTTTTTTTTTTTTGACATTTCTACTGTTCTTTCATTTGTGGCATGTTTCTTTGTCTCTGTATTTTGGATGCTTCCCTGTGTTTGTTTCTTTGTATTAGGTAGAGCTGTTATGTCTCCTGGAATTGGTAGAGTAGCCTCCTATAGGGCCCAGTGGCTCAGCTTCCCCAGTCACCTGAGATGGGCACTCTAGGTGTGCCCCTGTGTGGGCTGTGTGCATTGTTATAGTTGAGCCTTGCTTGCTATTGGCATCACTGAGAGGGATTGAACCCCAGTCCAATTAGCTGTGAGGACCAGCTGTGCCTACAGCAGAAGAGCTCATGTTCAGGAGGTACCCCTATGGAGCAGGATTTGCTTCAGTGGAGCTTTGGTGCTCACTGATTCTGCCCTTTGAGTTTGTCAGTCATGGATGTGTAGAGTTGTAATGTGGTGTGGTCTGAAGCTATCCACCAGCTGCACTGGCTCTTGGGCCCCCTGGAGGTGCAAAGTCAGCCACTGCCTGCACCCTGGGGCCACTGAGCACAAGCTACAGAGCCATCTGTAGATGGCTGCTACTTGTATTGGGCTTGGAAGTGCCCAGGAGAGGTCAGGCTGTGAAGCAAGGCAGGCTGCTGCTAGTGCTGGGCCTGGGGCCTCTTGTTGAGTGGTATGGAGCACACTGATGCCTTCTGCTGCTTGTCTGAGAGATTTTAGGAAAGTCTGAAGTCTGAGCCAGGACAGGCCATTTATATGGAAAAGCCACTGCAAACAGCTTGGGTGGGGCTGCAAATTGGGTGGGGCAGAGTCTCAAGGAATCACAGGGAGGAATGAACAGTGTGGGACAGGTTGGTGGAGACTCAGATATGACCTCTGCCAGTCATCTCTAAGATCAGAGAGGTCTCAGCATAGGACAATGACTGCTGCGAACACCCCTGTCAGGGAGAAATCCACCCCCGAGTTTTTGCTCCAATGCCAGACAATCTAGTTTCTCCCCATATGTCGCTGGATCCCCCCAAGCTTCTGCCCCAGTGCTGGAGCTCAGAGGGAGTGAATCTGAGCAAGTCTGAGTGCAGGGCCTTCAAGAGGAATTGTCTGGCTCTCCTCAGCCACTCTCCACTGGTTTTTATAGCCTGAAGTTACAGGCACTTCTCTTCTCAGCTCTGGATCCCTGAGCTGAGGAGTCTGGTTTGGGGCTGGGACCCCTCACAGGAGGCCTCCACAGCCTAGATATCTCTCCCATTTTTAAAAAATGCCACATGTGGTGTTGGACCAGCCTATTCCACACCTCTGCTCCTCCTGCCAGTCTCAGTGTGTTTTTTTCTTTACTTCTCTAGTTGCAGGACTTCCATTCAGTCGGATTTCAGGTGGTTCTGAATGATGGTTGTTCTCTATTTTAGTTGTAATTTTGATGTGGTTGTGGGAGGTGTTGAGTATTGCATTTATCTAACTGCCATCTTGGTTCTTCCTCTCATTATCATGGAAAGATTAACAACTTTGTTGCCAAAACAATGGAATCCCCAGAGGGGCCTGCCCTTTGCAGCCCCCAGCCTGGCATTGCCTGTAATCTGTAACTATTATACCCATTTTTATTCTTTTTACCTACTTCCCTATGTAATCTTGGTCCTTGTACCCAATATAAGCAGCTGGCTTGTGGGAGGGGTGGCAGAGCAGATTTTCAGAATGACCTGCCGCTCTCCCATGCTGCCAGTATTATTGGAATAAATGCTCATACAAGATTCAACCCTGTCTCATGCTTAATTGGCTCAAGTAGTGACTGACAGCCCAAATACATTCATTGTCCAATTTCAGGAGGATGACCTATTTCTGGCTGCTGCTCCTTGTGGAGTGGGTGGGCTGACATGTGAAGCTCTAGTCCTGTGATGCTCTTAGATAGCAGGTTCAAGAACTCTGAGCCTGTCTCCCTGCCTGAGAAATGGGGAATCCGCCGTAACTCTTCCTGTGGTGTCAGCTGCTCCCCTCTGCAGGCTGCCCTAGAGCCCTTTACAGTCTTAGGGTACTGACCACCCTGTGTGAGCCTGTTGTCCCCTTCAAACTTCCCCGGAAGGCAGGACCCTGTCCTCATCATGCACAGGGTCTGACATGCCCACAAGGCTTAGTTCGGGTTTGTTTATGACCTAGAAAGCCTTTTACTGGGTTTTGGAGGTGGGAGCTGCCCATGGGCACTGCTGCTTCTGGAAGGCTCTTGACCAGTAAGCAGTAGGAGCAGCCTTGGATTAGAACAAGGGTGGGCTTTACTTGGTTCCTTAGATGTCATTTCAGTTTGATCATAACCTTCAGCTGTAGCAGGAAGCTGACCAATACAGAAAAATACCAAAGCTTATGATCACCTAGGCCTGAACAGCAAAGAACACAGGCCTGGGATCCTTATCTAACAACTAGAGGCCTGGTGCACGAAATTTGTGCAGTCGGGGGTGGGGGGAGGTCCCTCAGCCTGGCCTGCACCCTCTCGAAGTCCCGGAGCCCTCAGGGGATGTCCAACTGCCACAGAGGCGGGAGAGGCTCCCACCACTGCCGCTGCGCTCACCAGCCGTGAGACTTGCTTCTGGCTGAGCAGCGCTCCTGACCACCAGGGGGCAGCTCCTGCGTTGAGTGTCTGCCCCCTGGTGGTCAAAGCATGTCATAGCGGCTGGTCAATTGTCTGCCCCCTGGTGGTCAGTGCTCATCATAGAGAGAGGTTGAGTTCCCTTAGCATATCATTAGCATATTATGTTTTGATTGGTTGAACGGATGACTGGACGACCAGACACATAGCATATTAGGCTTTTATTATATAGGATAGCTGCCACTTACTCAACATGTGAGTCTGCTTTGTGCTTCACATTTAATCTTAAAATAATCATATAACAAGTGGGTTTGACCTCAGATACTTCACTATCATTTTATTAAATCTGTATTCACCCACTAAATCAGAACAATTGCTTCCCCCACCTTTTTTGGGGAGGGGTAGTGGTTCTCACTAGGAGCTTTTGGCATGTCATATAACCCTCTGAAATATATTTCTCTCACTATATACACCCTTCCCCTTCCATAACGTTATGCTCCCTGCTCCTCTGGCCTTTACTGTCATAATAATGCATTTTCCCCCCTTACACTCTTCTAGTATAAAGCTGCTCAAATTACTTCTTGCATTTGTTTTATTATATGCATTAAAAAGGATCTTGAAATGGTACATTACCATGGGAATAAATAAATGAATGGCTAATTATAGCATGTGTGTGAATAAGTCAGTAATGAAAAACAGCTTTGAAAAGAGATTTAGGAGCAGCAAATTGAAGAGCTAGGGAAGAGCAATTCGAATCAGGTGGCATTTAGGCCTTTGAAGGTAGGTAGCTCTCCTCCCACCACCCCCTTCAATTAAGGTAATAGGCAGCAGCTCTGAAATAAATGGAGACGCTCGGATGAACCTGAACCAACTTGACCAGGAGAAAGAAGGGGCAGATGAAGGTGGAAGGCAGAATAAGGACACAAGCAAACTATACCAGGATATATTGTGCTAAGCCTGGACAACAGATGGAGCGCTTTGTCCGAGTTCCCCAGGGCCTGTACCAGGGAACACACTACGGGAACACATTGCCTTTGGGCCAGCCTGGACTCTCTGACCACCAACAGCCTGACTGGAGTCAAAACACTGGTGCCCCCACTTTCCTGGCCAGGACGGGGCTGGTGGTGCCCACGAACGCCTGGGCCTACTGCACTGACCCTTACAAGAGGGCACAGCTTAAGGCCATTCTCTCCCAGATGAACCCCAGCCTGGGCCTGAGGCTGTGCAAGGCCAACACCAAGGAGGCAGGTGTGCAGGTGAGCCTACGTGTGGACAGGTCTGTGCAGTGCTCGCTGGGCCCTCTCACCCTGCGCAGCTGCTCTTTTGGGGGCTGCAGGGGCCCCAAGGCACCCCTACCAGCCTGGGACCTCTATTCACCAGCAATGGACCTCAGGGACTTGATCCGGCTGCGGAAGGATGGAAAGGATGAGGAGTGGGATGCTCTTTCCAGTCCCGCAGAGGAAAGCCAGCAGCAGCAGCAGAAGTCATCACCACTGCCAACATCACAAGAGGACAAGCAGGCGGAACGCTGGCAGCAGGACAAGTTGGGGGAGGAAGATGCCTCTAGTCCTGGGCGGAGCAAGCAGGCCCAGGGAGATGCCCACCCTCTCAGGAAACCCAACTTCCAGGTGAACTTTGTCTTCCCCTCCTCAGCCCTCTGCTGGCCCCTTTCTCTCTTTCCTCTTTTCCATTTCTGGGGCAACAAGAACAAAATCTTCCTGGCTTCCTCCCTTTATTTGATAAAGGAAAGGAAGTTCTGAAAACCTGTATTTAAATGTTATTTTAAAAATTCTTACCAAGGATATGTTTATTGATTTTTAGAGAAGGAGTAAGGGGGAGAGAGAGAGAGAGAGAGAGAGAGAGAGAGAGAGAGAGAGAGAGCAATGTGCGAGAGAAACATCAATTGGTTGCCTCACGTAATGCCCAATTAGGGATTGAACCCAAAACCTAGTTATGTGCCCTGACCAGAAATCAAACCCACAACCATTTTGGTGTATGGTATGACACTTCAACCAACTGAACCACCCGGCTGGGTGTGTAAACTGGTGTTTTACATGGCCTCTGTGTTTTGTAACTTACTGGTGAAATATGGTGCCAACTTTAAGCATGTGCAAATCAAAAGTCTGGCAACCATTATTAATTGGGAATGAGGAGATGAAGAAGGATTTCAAGTCTGTGAAATATATGATCATAATCTCATTCTGGAGAGACTGTGCTTATGGCATTGTGGAAAATGGATTGAAAAAGTGAGAGGCAGCAGGTAGAAGAATCCCAGAGTAATCCTTAAGAGATGAGACACCAAATTAATGTAATAACCTTGAGAACAGCTGTGAGTGAGGTTAAGGAGGCTTTTTGTATTTCTTATACTAAGCCACAAGCAAAGAAGGATCTGGCTTTTTTCCCTCCTGGATAATAAAAGACACTTCTTTTATTTCAGTTTTTGGAACGAAAATATGCCTATTTTCACTGTAAGGATTGTAAGACTAGATGGGAGAGTGCTTATGTGTGGTGCATTTCTGGAACTAGTAAGGTGAGTAAAAGTGTATGGGACATGGATGAGGGTGGGGGCAGGTACAGATATTAAGTGGAGGAAGAAAGTACTTTTTATTGGAGTGTAACTTAATATTGTCTCATTCATCTTGGCATCCTCCATGCCAGGCACATAATAGGTGCTCAGTAAATGAATTGAACTGAACTGGACAGTCTACATGACTTCCTGAGGCTGCCGACCCATGTCCTGGTGTTTGTTCTGTTGGGTTTGGTACTTATGTTGGACCACATATCAGGCTATTTAGATGAACTTTTGTTCTTGTGTACGTTAGGACTTTGTGTAATCATTTTTCAGTTGTATTTTGAACAAGTTTGGGCATTAGCGCTAAGGAATTTCCACTGTCTGTCCACAGGTGGGGCAATAAGAGAACTTCTTTAGGCTAAGGAGGTTCCTCCCTTACTTTGAATTAGTTGTCAACATATTCAGATTGGGGAAGATTTCAGTCTGTGTTTTCAGATTTTCTTGCACAATCACATCATAGAACAGTAGGCTGGGGCTAAGCAGCTTCTTTCTCCTTTCCCTTCATTTTGTAACAGTCTATAGCTGGTCTATGTCACCAACTATTATGAGCATTTGAGTTGGAGTCCCTAACCGTAGAGGGAGAGGTGTGCTAAGGCCTGAATGAAAGCATGACTTTTCACACTAGTCATTTACTATATCTGAAGGTAGATAGATTTTTAAACTAAACTAAAAGTACTTTCCTTTTCTTGCCAGAAGAAAAACAGTGGATTTAATTCAAACCCTCCAAGACACTAGGATACAAAGACATAGAACTCGTCCTCAAGATATTTATAATGATAGCAGTGACGCAGACACAGTGTGCTTTGGTGACAATCAATGGCACCCGTGGCATGGACATGGTACAGAAATAACACAGAAGGGGATGAGTAACCTTGTCAGGAGAAAGGCATTGTGATATCTGAGCAGGATTTTAAAGGATAAATAGGAGTTCACCAAGTAAGGTAGGGAGAAAGTGTGCACGAAGAAATGTACAAAGCCTAGAAACTATGTGTATTGGTGGTACAAAGGAAAGGAATGAGTTACTTAAAAACTGGGAGCCTAGGGTACATATAAACTTGGATTTAAAAAAATACAAATTTCTCCTTAGGTTTATTTCAAACAACTCTGTTGCAAATGCCATAAGAGTTTTAACCCTTATCGGGTAGAAGCAATCCAGTGTCAGGTAAGCATATAGAACACTTCCTTTGTGTCTGAAATATTTTCATTGTTACCATGAAGCTTTTGTGGCATAATGTTTGGATTTGATAGAATTGGATATTTGTGTAGGAGTATTAGGTTTTTTTCTATATGTTTGAATTTTTATAATATTTTAAGGAAAAAAGCATAAATTCTTTTTTTTGGGGGAGCGTATAATGGGAGATTTAGTCCTAAGTTGCCTTAGGTGGTGTGTTTATGTATGGGGTAGTGTGTTTTTTCTCAAACACCCTGTGTATGGCTGTAATAATTTAATGGGTAACCTTTATTAAGCTTTTACTATGTGCCAAATTTTGGGCTAAGTGCTTTACATGCATTATCTGCTATTGAGTTATTGATTTGTTATTGTATTTTCCAGTACTAGAATTTTTGTTTTTTTTTTTAAATGACTTCCAGTTTTCTGCTGGAAATATCATTCTCATTTCTTTAAACATAGTAAGCGTAATTATTTTAACATCTGTACCATATAACTCTATTCCCTATGGTTCTGTTGCTATACTCTTGATTTTCCTTGGTTTTCAAGTGTGCTGTTCTGTTTTCTCTTGCACTTGTTTATTTTTGATTGAGGACTAGATATTGTATATGAAAAATTACAGTAATAATCGAGGCCTACGGTAGTATCTTCTTCCACAGAAGATGTTTTTTGCTTCTGGTGGGTAGATGGGGACACTAACAATTTCAGTTTACTATTTTTCAATCAGGGATGAGCTCTTTTGAAACTGGGCTTTGGGATCTGTGAAGGCTGGTCATGTTTTGGCTCATCCTTATTCTTAGAGGATAGCCTTTCAGAGTTTCAATAAAAAATTTGAATTGTTTACTAGGGTTCTTCCATTTTGGAATATTTAAGATCATCCCTCTGTTAAACCCATTTTCAGAATTCTACTGTCTTTCACCTCTTCCAGAATTGGCAGATACCTTTAGAGGGAAAATAATCCCAAATGTCAGGCTCACCTCTCTTTCTGGCTTTCCTTCTCTAATGCTTGGATAATTTTTTGGTGCCTTTAAATAGTTATTTTAAAGGAATTATTATTACTTTTTAGCTCAGCTTTTCCAGTTGTCCTAAACAAGAAGCTTGGTCAAACATACTAATCCATTATTGCCAGAAACAGAAGCCCACATTTAGAGGAAACCGAATTTTTTAAAACTGAGCCTTTTCTTCCTTACAAGGGTATCGTGAGAATTAAGTTAATCTATGTAAAGTGCAAGTACAGTGCACATAGTAAGTACCATGCGAGTATTTGCTATTAGAATTTTCTTATAAGGACACATACTTATCAATAGGAGAGTGGAACATGTAAATGTGTAGTACAAGATTTGATAAATCATACTTGACTCTTTTTTGAAAAATTAAAATGCCCATTTTCACAATATAAAAGGTAAAGCTTGACCTACTCTGTTTGGCTATGGACATATGCCTAAAATAGAGCAGTGATTATCAGTTGGGAGAGTGGGCCGGGCAGTATACCAGTCTCCATGGGGTGTAATTTTATTTATCAGAAGACAGAATGGGATCATGGTTAAAAACACTTTAAATTCTAGTAAAGATCAGGCATGTCCAGAAAAGATCGTGCATGTCCAGAAAGGAAAGAAAAATTTTAACTACCTCTATAACACCTTCCTTCCTAGTTGTAACAACCAAAAATATCTCCAAACATTGCCAAATGTTGCTGGTGGGTAAAATGCCATTGGTTGAGAATCACTGTGCTGTTGTTTTTAAATGTTCCAATGTAGATAATCAAGTCACTTAATACTCACCACTGCCCTTCATTCCCACCTGGTTATAAATGTGAACACTTACACAGTAAAGATACTCTATAAAACTCTAACATGTAAAACTTTTCTTTTACATGAGATATTCTTGATTGGCTCAGTGATATTCTCTAAAACATCATCTTTGATCACTCATCTTGACAAATGCATGCCATTTAATGGGATAAGAGTGGTTTTATACAACTTGGTCTTGGACTTTTCCTAGGACTCAAAGGACGATGAAGATACCACGGAGGGGGTGATGGGAAGTATTTTGGTTTGAGGATTACATTTGAAACACTAATTTGATTGTGTCCAAATTGTTCCTTATTTTCTAAAGATTTGTTTAAAGTCCCGTTGTTCCTGTCCTCTAAAGAAAAGAAACATTGACCTAAGGAGACCTCATCGACAGGAACTATGTGGCCGCTGCAAAGACAAGAGATTCTCCTGTGGCAACATTTACAGCATTAAATACATCATGTGACAGACAGTATGATTTGTATAGGTCACCCCAGCACTTCTTGTCACTTACTGTACTGTTTCTTTTTTGTACCTTAGCTCTGACTGGGTTTTGGAAACGAATTAGGCTTTTGTACGTTTTCTAGGTTGTATAACAATTATATAGTATGAATAGAATGAAATAAATGCATGTAAAATAGACCATGAAGGCACATTAATTGGTGAATCCAGGGTAAAAACAAAAAAAAATCATTGGGAAATGGTACATGACTGGCACTTTATCACTTTTATTAAGGGAACAAGGAAGAGGAACAGTATTCATTTGACATTATAAACTGGGTGTTCTAGGCACTGGGAATATAGAGATGATCTAGGGGCCAGGTCCTTGCCCTAAAGTACACATAATAAAGATAGAAAATACTTCAACAGCAGGAAGTAAGTGCCAGGCATTGTTGTAACTCATTACAGCAGCCATAGGAAGTGGGGTCTATTATACCCCTTCTTACCAGGTGAAGAGAGGCAGCTGTAGAGATATCATGGGATAGAGCCAGGATGTGAACCCAGATGGACAAGGGATTTGCCCCTAGGACCTTCCCTATTATATTTTCTCTCAGATTCAGATGTGGTAAGTGCTATAGAGGAAGCAGGGTGCTTTGACAGTGACCCTTTATCAGGGGTCCTCAAACTTTTTAAACAGGGGGCCAGTTCACTGTCCCTCAGACCGTTGGAGGGCCGGACTATAGTTTAAAAAAAAACTATGAACAAATTCCTATGCACACAGTGGCGGCAAAAACACCCGGCGGGCCGGATAAATGTTTTCGGTGGGCCGCATGTGGCCCGTGGGCTGTAGTTTGAGGACCCCTGCTTTAGATAGTGTGGTTGGAAAGAGGCAACATGACAATGGAGACTTTCAGGATGAAGGACCTGGGAGAAAAAGATGGTTTTGATCCAAGGCAAGAGCAAAGGCCCAGAGGGGGTGGGACAATGTACTTGGCATGTCCCAGAAATAGGAGCTCCCAAGGCTAATGTAGGGTGTGGGCTGGAGAAGACAGGGCTCAGGTCACAAAGGGTTCCTTCAGCCATGGTCCAGCAGATGGCAGCCCACAAAGGGGTTTCAACAAGGCGGTGATATCAATTCTTACTTTAGAAAACTCACTGCTGCCCTGGCTGGGTGGGTCAGTCGGTAGGAGTGTCACCTTGTACACCAAAAGGTTGTGGTCTCCACTCCCAGTCAGGGCACATACTTAGGTTGCAGCTTTGATCCCTGGTTGGGGCACATATAGGAGGCAACCGATCAATGTTTCTAACATCGATGTTTCTCTCTCTCTCTCTCTCTCTCTCTCTCTCTCTCTCTCTCTCTTTCTCTCTCTCTCCCTTCCTCCCTCTCCCTTCCTCCCTCTCCCTTCCTCTCTCTGAAAATCAATAAAAACATATCCTTGGCTGAAGATTACAGAAAAAGAAGAAAACTCACTGCTGTGAGGGAAGACCAGGCAGAGTGGAAGGAGGGAGACCGGTTAGGAGGTTCATGAACACATGAGCAAAATGATGGCTAGGTCAAGGCTGATAGCTGTGGAGACGGACAGAAGTACTTCTACTCAAGATCATGTTTGGAGATGTAATGTACAGGATTGGAAGTGGATGATAAAGAACTAAATGATGACTTTTAGAGTTCTTTGAGCTAAGGGCAGATGGAATTAAGAATAACAGGGAAAAAAAAAGAATAACAGGAGCATGTTCCTGGATCAGATGATTTAATTTCAAATCCTGGCTGTGGTACTTAAGAGATGTATGATTGTGGGGAACTTTCTTTGTTTCAATTACTCTTCTCTAAAATGAGAACTATAATGGTACCTGTCTCCTGGTGGTGGGGTGAGAACTAAAGGAGCTGATAAATGTTAAGCACTTAGTATAGAACCTGCAATACTTAGAGGGCTCAGTAAACTTAGCTGTCTTATTTTGGCAGGGCTTTGTAGTGGCATGGGCAAGGGCTTCTGTTTTCAACATATTAAGTTTGAAATATTTGAGACATTTAAATGGAGATATAAGCTATTGAGTTATGAATCTGGAATTTAGGAGGGAAATCAGTGCTAGAGAGAGAGAGATTTGGAGAAAAATAGTATTTAAAGCCAGTGACCTGGGTGGGATCACCTAGAACAGTGGTCAGCAAACTGCGGCTCGCGAGCCACATGCGGCTCTTTGGCCCCTTGAATGTGGCCACGAAGTTTCAATCGCACTGTAGGTGCGTGCCCGCATGTGGTATTTTGTGGAAGAGCCATACTCAAGGGGCCACAGTTTGCCGACCACTGACCTAGAAGAAGAGTACAGCACAGGACTCTGGGGCACGAACATTTAGAGCAATGATTCTGTAACTTTAATGTCCTGGGAGTTATCTGTTCACTGGAGATTCTGATCCAGTTGGTCTGGGGTCTGAGTCTGCAAATCTGACAAGCTTCCAGGTGCTCTCGTGCCACTGGTCCTGTAGATCATACTCTGAGTAGCAAGAGTTAGAGTTAGGTAAAGAGGTGTTCAAGAACGATAGAAGAGATGGTATCATGAAAGCAAAGATAAACAGTATTTTGAGGAGGGGAGTGGCTTGAGGAACTTCATGAAATGGTAGGGATGGAAGCTAAAGCTAATAGAGTCAAGGTAGTGAGTAGAGATATTTTCTAGAAATTTTGCTGTTAAAAACCAAATTGGTGATAGTGAGAAGGACATTTGTGGGAAATGGAGGTACTGAGTGAGTTTGTATATTCCTGGAAATAATTCAGTAGAGGGAAGCTGAAGGCACAGCAGGGAGAGGACACTCAGACAGGAGCAAAACCCTTGAAAAGGGAGAAGGGATGGGTTCAGAGAAAAGTGGAGTGATTAGGCCTGAATAGAAGCAGTGATGTTCCCCTTTTTTAAAAGGATGGAGCACTTAGAATATGAACTAGTTAAAGACAGGTTTATAAATTTGAGGGTGAGGAGAAGACCATCTGGTTTGTTTTATTTACTGAATGAATTATGAAGCAAAGTCATTAGCTGAGGCAGGTAGAAAGGGAAAGGGGTGGGAGGCTGAGGAGGGAGAGCAAGGTGTGAAATAATTGTCTCAGGTCCTGGGAATTTGAAATGATCAGGGAGGTGTAATTGTATTTGTAATTGTAATTGTCTGATAGCATTGAGAGCTCCTTTTGAAACTCTGTGCTGTTTGAGATATGCCTGGTTATAGTTGTTTTCCTGTAGTGTCTCACTCAAGCAATTGTGGTACAGGTGTGGACAGGGGAGATCTGTCTTTGTGAGTATCAGCCAGGGAGTGATTACAATCCATGGAATTTATTTTAGGTTAAATATTTTTCTCTTTAAATTTACTCAGGTAACAGTGACTAATATCGTTACATAAATTTCAGGCATACAACTTTATGACATTGTATACTCTAATAGGTACTCACACCACAAAGTCTAATTTCCTTATGTTATTATATTTTGACCCCCTTTACCTTCTATGTCCTCCCCCCACACTATTTCCCCTCTGGTGACCACCATTCTGTTGTCTATATCTATGCATTTGTCTTTATGTTTTGTTTGTTCCTTTTTGTTTTACATGCCATATTATTTTCTATCTGACTTACTTCACATAGCATGCTTTCTCTAGATCCATCCATGTTGTCGCAAATGGAAATATTTCACCTTTTGTGTGTGTGTGTGTGTGTGTGTGTGTGTGAGCTAAGTAGTATTCCCATTGTATATATGCACCACATCATCTTTATATAGTCATCCATTGAAGGACATTTAGGTTATTTTTTGTCCACTCTGATTTTCATTTTCTTCCTTCTACTGACTATGAGCTTTGTTTGTTATTTTTCTATATCGGTAAAGTGTAATGTTAGATTGTTTATTTGGGGTTTTCTTGTTTCTTGAGGTAGGCTTGTAACACTATATATTTCCCTCTTAGTACTGATTTTGATGCATCCCCCAAATTTTGGTATGTCATGTTTTCATTTTCATTTGTGTCTAGTTTTTTTTTCATTTGTATCTATGTATGTTTTGATCTCTTCTTTCATTTCTTCTTTGACTAAATGGTTGTTCAGTAGCATGTTATTTAATCTCCAGATATTTATTTTTCCTCTTTCTTGTTATAGTAAATTTCTACTTTCATATTGTTGTGATTGGAAAACATGCTTGGTATGATATTCAGTCTTTTTAAAATTTAAATTCTTTATCATTTAAAGTATTACATAAGTCTCCTTCCCCCCCCCCCCCCCCATTGACCACTCCCTGGCCACCTCCACCCCCAAGCACATGCCCTCCCCCGCCCCCCCTGTCCTTTGGTTGATTACTTACCCCTTCACCCCCTGCCTTCCCTCATAGGTTGGATAGTCTGTTTGATGCTTCTATGACTCTGGTTCTATTTTTGTTCAACAGTTTATGCTGTTCATTATATTCCACAAATGAGTGAGATCATGTGAGACTTATCTTTCTCTGACTGGTTTATTTCGCTTAGCATAATGCTCTCCAGGTCATCCATGCAGTTGCAAATGGTAAGAATTCCTTTTTTTTTTTTTTTTTTACACAACAGCATAGTATTCCATTGTGTAGATGTACCACAGTTTTCTAATCCACTCATCTGCTGATGGGCACTTAGGCTATTTCTAAATCTTAGCTATTGTAAATTGTGCTGCTATGAACATAGGGATGCATATATCCTTTCTGATTGGTGTTTCTGGTTTCTTGGGATATATTCCTAGAAGTGGGATTATGGGTCAAATGGAAGTTCCATTTTTAGTTTTTGAGGAAACGCCAGCACTTGTCATTTGTTGATTTGTTGATGATAGCCATTCTGACAGGTGTGAGATGGTACCTCATTGTCGTTTTGATTTGCATCTCTCGGATGATTAGTGACTTTGAGCATGTTTTCATATGTCTCCTGGCCTTCTGCATATCCTCTTTCAAAAGTGTTTATTTAGGTCCTTTGCCCATTTTTTAATTGGATTGTTTATCTTCCTTTTGTTAAGTTGTATGAGTTCCTATAGATTTTGGAGATTAAACCCTTATGGGAGATAACATGGGCAAACATATTCTCCCATGCAGTGGGCTTTCTTGTTGTTTTGTTGATGGTTTCTTTTGCT